GAGCCACCCGCTCGACCTAACTCGCCTTCAGGAACGTTCGCCTTTATGGAGGAATATGACTATACACCGGTGGAAAGAGACCTGTATGAAGACGACGGGTATTTCGAAGATTGTGGGTCAGAGTACGAAACGGACTATGAGGACGACGAAGAACTGCATGTTCAAGATGACGAGCTGTACGCGGCTCAACAACCAGCAGTAAGATCGACCACACGACAATTACGCCCTCGCAACGAAGCAGGTAAGGTACAAAAGAACAATTCGCAAAAGAGAGTAGAATTTCGAGACCCTCCTGTTCGACGACGAAAGAAACAAGCCACGACCGGTCCCACGGTACCTCGTGATGAGCCCCTAACGAGACAGGTCCCCATGACAACGCCCATTAGCAACCAAGTCAACACACAAACCAGACCAACACAGCCAACCCTTGCCGCACCTACCACAGGTCTACAATCAGCCTTCGGACAGACGGCCCTGTCCAAGAACAACACGATGCCGGCCGCGAAACAATGGACTCAGCTCAGAACCCCTACAGATAACATGGACATTGACTCACCATCGGAGGGAGCTGAGGTCAAAACGAAACAAAATACCTCGCCATTCGCACCTACACCACCTACCCCAGCAAAAAACAGAAGTGTAGCGGGAAGAGCCGCGCAAGAAAAATCGACCCCTCAGAAAAATAAAAATACACCCAAGAGAACCCAAAAATCGCCAACCCAAAATAGAAACAGAAAACCCGTAAACACAACCCAGACCAACATCAAACGTACCCCATACGATGTCTCTGCAGACTTGCTAAGCAGAACAGCCGATATCAGTTTCGGTCAACTACTAGGCGTCGCTCCATCTCTACGACGACAAGTTACTAAAGCGTGTCGAGACACACGTACCTTGGCCGTATTAGATGAAGAGTCTGTACCGTCGCCCGCGACAACAGCGCTTTACACGACCTTCTTATTGTACGACACGCCCGTAAAGACCTTGGTAGATTCAGGCGCCAGCCGCACCTGTATGTCCCAACGTCTAGCACAAAAACTCGGTCTTGAGATCGATGAACCATCGACAGCTGTCTTCAAACTAGGCAATGGAGCCCGCCACGCTTCGTTGGGCATCATAAACAACGTAGAGTTGCAACCACACGGGACGGATTCTGTCCCTGCTGCAGTAGAAGTACTACCCTCCTGTCCTAACGACCTTATTATCGGAAATAACTGGCTCAAGCAAGCCCAAGCTACGATCGACTATAAGACCAAGCTCTTATGGATACATCACGGCGAAACTCGGTCAATTCCCGTCACTTATGAACGACCAAAGTTGAGTCTAGAACAACCATGGGAAGAAGAACCCACTACAGATGACGACGAAGCGGCATCCGCCACGACAGAAGATTCGACCGCATCGACTACTGGAAACGAATCGTCAGACCAAGAGTCCTCGTCCCTAGCTGATGAGATGCTGACCAACGAATATTGGCTTGAGGATGAGTTGTTCGCCATTGTCGAAACCGCTCAGCCACTAGAATTGATAAAAGAACACGACACGCTGCATCTGATAACCAACGATTCTATCGACATCGAAGCTGCATCCTACCAGACATATGAGATAGATATCCCAACAATATTGAAATCTTCCAACACCTATATCTTCGATACCACGCAAGCTTTACCTGATCACATTGGAATCCACTGCGGAATCCTCTACCCAACCGATAAAACTTTCAGAATTTCAATCATCAACATGTCAGACACGCAGAGCTTTACCTTCGGAGCTGATGAAATACTTGGGGAATTATACGCTGTCACCACCCATGACCAAGGCTACGAGCTGGTCATTGAGCCTAAGACGCCGCGACAAATAATCTCCATGCCTACCGAACTTAAACCACTTACTACGGCACAACGAGAACTCTTCAATCTAGGAGAACTAGATCCAGAGCTACGAGCAGAATTCTACCATTTGATTACTCAATTCCAAGACATATTTGACTGGGACGGAGAGACTATTGGGAGAACAGATTTTATCAAACACGACATCATCACTGAAAAAGACACGGCTCCCATCCGTCACCGACCATACCGCATGAGCCCTTTGGAACTCAAACATCTCAAAATTGAGCTCGACAAGTATTGTAAAATGGGTATCATCCGGCCATCCAACAGCCCTTGGGCCGCACCCATTATCATGATTCGCAAGAAAAGTCTACCAGGCGACACCGAGCCACGGTATCGTCTCGTTGTTGACTATAGGAAATTGAACGCAGTAACACGCTTTGATGCCTATGCAGGCGTGCCACGAATTGACGAGCTCCTGCACAACCTCACCGTTACCTCATCCACCGCCTTTAGCAGCCTTGACCTTTCTAAGGGATTCTATAACGTGCCACTCAGCGAAGACGCTATCCCTAAGACTGCGTTCACCACCCGCTTTGGCCTGTATGAGTACTTACGCATGCCTATGGGCCTTGCTAACTCGGTACAGACGCTCGGTCGCGTAATGAGTAGTTGCTTACGCGCCCTACTTAACCGCACTTGTCTTATTTACTGCGATGACTTGATTTGCTACGAAAAAGATCAGCGATCACATATCCGTAACCTGCATCACGTATTCTCCTGTTTACGCCGCGCTGGCTTGATCCTCAACCCTCAAAAGTGCAGTTTTTTCCAGAAAGAACTCAAATTCCTCGGCTACATTGTATCAGCAGAAGGAATCCAAACTGACCCTGCCAAAGTCGAAAAAATCGCTAACTTCGAACGGCCTCAAACCGTCAAAATGCTTAAAAGTTTCATCGGTTGCGCCTCCTATTACCGGTCATTCGTAAAAGGCTTTGCCAAAATTGCACGACCATTACACGAGATGACAAAAGATGGCACCATCAAGCTCCAGTGGACCCCGGACGCGGTTACCGCGTTCGAAGCGCTGAAGGAAGCACTCTGTACAAGCCCCATACTTGCCTATCCGGACTATAACAAACGATTCGTCCTATGCTGTGACGGAAGCTCCCACGGATATGGTTGTGTCCTTAGCCAATACGGCGACGACGGCAAGGAACATGTCATTCTGTACCTCAGCAAAGGCCTGCAGCCAAATGAACGCTCATGGTCCGCCAGCAAACTCGAATGCGGCAGTGTCATTTTCGCCGTAACACGTCTAAGACCTTACCTTCTTGGCTCCAAAGAGAAATTTCTCATCCTGACCGATCACGCCAGTCTAAAGGGACTACTAAACGCAACAAACCTAACCGGCATTTTAGCCCGATGGGTGCTCACACTCTCCGAGTACTCCTTTGAAGTCAAATATCGACCTGGCAAAGAGAACAAGAATGCCGACTTTCTCAGTCGCTTAGGATATTAACGTCATTACTATTTTCGACCAGTACCCGGGAAGTCGTTAAAAGCATGAGGACACGCTTTTCTTTTTACCGGCGCAACCCGGCACCCCCTATTTACAACTTTTTGCTACACTTAAACAAACAAAACACAATAAACCCACACAAAACACAAGAAAACAATATAACCCCACAAAAAAACAACTCCTTTCTACATATCCACACTTTCGCTTATAATCTTTTATTTTCGCTATTCACATTTTCTTACTCTTATCTACATGCATTTTCGCGCATTCAACTGCCGCGCTGATCAACACAACATTCTCATTTACCCAAACACAACTTACCCTTTTTAATTACAACACAAACCACACCATCATCTGACAACTGACAACTTCACAAATTCTGACAACTCTGACAATACACACAATGGACACAAAGAAATTAGCTTTATTACATCATTATCTCAACACGCTAGAATACCCTCCGGGTATCACAAAGCAACAGGAACGATACCTAGCATCACAAAGCAAAAATTATCTCGTATACAACGACCGCGTTTACCGACGACAAGGTGCCGGTATCCGCCTTGTACTCAACAAGCAAGAAGCCGACAATGCTATCTGGACATACCACTTCTATCCTACCGGCGGTGCTCATTATGCGCTACACACAACATACCAACGCATAGCACAACGCTATTACTGGGAAGGAATGCGACGCGACATACAGCTCACAATAGCACAATGCTCCCGATGTCAACGACATGGAAAACCCGAGAAAATCGAACTACTACACCCGATACCCGTTGAACCAGAACCATTCACGATGGTCGCACTAGATATCAAACACCTCAGACCATCTCGTGCTGGTCACTCATACGTCATTGCAAGTATCGACTATCTGACGAACTACGTCAACGCAAAGCCGGTCCGCCTCGCAAACGCCACAGAGGTCGCTCTATTCATATATCAAAACATCATCTGCACGCACTCACACATCAAAGTACTACTCACCGACAGAGGATTGCCAGTCAACAACAAAATCATCGACGAAATCTGTAACAACTTCAATATCGAACACCGCATGGCGAGCGCTTTCTCACCTAGCGTAAACGGAAAAATTGAACGATGGAACCGCAGCCTAGCACAAGGATTGAAGCGATTATCTAACGAAGAAAAAGCAGACTGGAGCGCGTACCTGCCCTCGCTGGTACTCAGTTACAATAGCCGCATCCACTCGACAACGAAGGCATCACCCTTCTACTTACTATACGGCCGTCACCCTTGGACACCGTTCGACAGATCCGTACCACAAATAGAAAGCAACACAGATGTGACAGCCTGGACACAAAAGGAATATGACACCTGGATGGACACACATCTCAGACTTCTCAGGAACATCCGGCAGAACGCAGCCGACACCATCAAAGTATCCCAGCAAAATCAAAAGAAAGCACTAGATCGGAAAATACTCGGCAAGAAAAAGCACCTGCTGCAACCACCGTTCAAAATTGGGGACGCAGTGCTAGTTTATCATAACGCCATCGAATCGTCGTTCTCAGCAAAAATGGAAGACATGTGGAATGGTCCTTACATTGTGCACCACAGCAACGGAAAACACGGATACACTCTTAAGACACTAGAAGGGAAAATGTTACGAGGCACGATACACGGAAACCGAATGCGTATATATACCATGCCCAACGTAGCGTTTCGACCGACATACACCTCCCGATACAAACAACCCGAAGAAACGATGTCGACACCCAACCATCCTGACATCCTCGCGTCCCTGGATGAAATCGCGCCGCCTGCAGGACCCCAAAACCAAGGCTACAGCCACGATGACATCTTGGCTATCCTCGCGCAACTCGACGAGACGAAACTCTCCCCAGCTTTGGTAGACCGGGTCAGAGACCAACTCGAGCGGGAAAGCGTGGCGCGACGAATCCACGAAACACGAGCAGAAGTAGTTAATCTCCTCGTGCAAGAAATCTTTGACAAAGACGCATTATATCAACAATGCCGCCGTCACAACGCCCGACACGCTGGACTCACAGCAATCTTCCGGGCCGTAGGCTTGCCTACTGGCGCATTAGATCCTTCGCACCCGTTCTGCAAGGCATTGACCAAAGCCTTTTCGGCTGCCGCCAGGGCACGACGTAATATAGTGAACGCTTAATTACATGTAATAGCTCCACCATCACCACCACAATATTGAAATAAAGCAATTCAAAAAAAAAAAAAAAAAAAAAAAAAAAAAGAAAAAACAAACACAAAACAAAACACAAAAAAGAACAGTTACAAAAGCGAAACACACAAGATGTCCAAAACATATACAACACAATATACAGAACAAGTATCGATCACTGCTCTACTGTTACCCGCATTCGCGCGCGGCTGCATTAACATTAAACCAACCCGGATCGTCAAACTCGCAGAGCCGCTCAAGGCATAAGCTAATTCTCCCTTAGCATAAGCTAATTCCCTAGCATAAACTATTCCACTATAGCATAAGCTGCGTCCGAGATAGCAAATGCTAACGCTATACAAGCATAAACCGACACCACCATAACACGAAGCACGACACCCGCATTGTATCGAAACCGAATAATATAAATATCTGTACATCTCCAAACCATCCGTCTTCATTAATCTAATCGTCACAATAAACCTTTTCTTCTTACGAAATCGACCATGCCCTACAACAGCTACCCCTCGCCATCCTATTCCCCATCGTCCTTGTTCGACTCTCCCCCCTCAACGACAACTGCTTCATCGGCACCGACACCCGACCAAATATCGGAATGGGATAAGCCTGTCGAGTTGCCCATTCATACTCACCAAGATCACGCCGACGAGCCACCACAGTACCAACCGAACCCAACCGCACCTTGCCTTGTTGACTGTAGCGGTGGCAAACTTGTTTATCGATTATACGACCCCGACTTTGTACCGCCGCCCTTATATCCAGAATCCAAGGACCTCCGAGTCGAAATGGGATATTTCTTTGACCTCACCCAAGAGTGCGTTGCCCAACATATCAACCACCGCAAAGCCAAGGAAAAGCTGGCTACTGCCCGCCGTCTCCTCGCTCACCGCATCGCCGTCCGTTTGTCTACCGTCCTCCGGCGTTACCGGGATGAAGCTGCGCGCCAGCGCGTTATCCGTCGCTATGTCCACTTGCACATACATGACACGTTTATTTCGACCGACGAATCACTTTTCTCCCTTATAAACATCTATTATAACAAGATGCTCGGGGATGGTCTGCCCGCAGACATGGCCGCCCGGGACGTGCGGATCTAAAGCCAGGGGGCTATGTAGTGACAATTCCCCGCTTACAATAAAGATTTCTTTCTTGCCACCATACTCGATTTCGTCCACATAAATTCGCGCACTCTTATTGGTTCCTTGCTAGTGTCAACTTGGTATTTGCTTTTATCACATTAGCATTAGCTTTTATCACATTAGCATTAGCTTTTGTCGCATTAGCATTAGTAAACCACGAATCACATAGCTAGAAACCGACACATCAATTAGTATAAATAGCCCCTTTCCTTCCATTCGATTTCAGTTCAGTTCATCTCTTATCTCTTTTTCTTAACTCTTCTTCTTAATAAAGAATCTCTTAAGTGGCTTTCGGACGTAAACATTCCCGAATCTTGAACTCCCACTTCTTCTTTCTACTTCTCATCAGATCAGCATTGATAGCTCATTTAAGGCCCATAAATTGCCTTTTTCCTTTATTCTCACTTCATTTCCATTGTATCCAGAGTATAGCCGACGCTCTGCGATACTACAATATTATAACAAATATAATCTTTTCCTTTCATACAATAGCTAATAGACTTTTGTGGATTACCACCTGGTTTAATATTTGGAGTAACACTATCAATAGTAAAGAATTTACGTGCTGTTTTTATGTCGAATCGCTCATCCATTTGTATCCATATGTGTACATGTTTCTCATTGGTTTCTGGTGCAATTTTATCACATGCAATTGCCTTTTCAATTCGATAACCAATACGTTCATGTTTTATAAACCATTCCATGATTTGTTCTTTTGTTAAATGGAAGTCCTTACAAATATATGTGAACAGCCCTTTAGTGTTTTGGAATCGGAATTCTTTGCCGCCCTGCGAGGAATCTGCACCAGAGGTGTTACCCTCTAACATTGCATCGGAAAATTGAGGATTTGAGGATTTGAGGAATCTCACATATTCTCGAATTCTTCCAATTATTTTATTGCGTGTATTATTTTTAGTTTTTAATCAACTTTAGCCTGTATAAGGTCTTTTTCGAGTTCTGACCTCAGTTGTGTGACAAGAGGTTCATACTCAATATGCTGATGGTTTTCAGCAAGGTGTTTTGCTCTTTTAATTAAGAGCGTCAATGTAACTCCTAAAATAGGAACAAATTCAGCCATAATGGCTAAGAATGCGAGAAGGTTGAGTTGGTTCATGTCGATTGTTGAAGTAATACAGTGAACCCCCGCTTTTTGCACCCCCGTTTATTGCAGATCCCCACTTATTGCAACTTTTTTGAGCAGATTCCCGCTCAACACTTAGTAAAATTGCAGATTCCTCGGTTTTTGCAGATTGCAACTTGGAAATCGGGACCTGCAATTTCCCGCTTCAGCCTCATATATTGTATATTAATCTCAAGCTTCAGAGACAGTGAGACTCGAACCAGTGACAAAAGAGATACACTATTGTATTCTATTATTTAAGAGCTTTTAAACTAAATAAGGAAAGATGTGATTGCCAGCTTATCGATCCCACTTGTGTAACATATTCACATTTTGCAGTCCCTCAGATTTTGCAACTTTTTTAACGGTATTCCCGCTGTTGCAAAAAGCGGGGGTTCACTGTACCAACGCAATCATCAAGTTGAAGCTGGCTTAGCTCCACGAGTTCTAATATATCTCGAGACCCATTGCGCTGTTGGCTCAGCTTTTTGGGGAGATGTAGACTTGATCTACAAGTGAGCGGCTCCGAAGGCAGTGAATCATTTTGTTTAATAAAGTGTTAAGAGCGTCATTGGTAAGGTCATTTGGTGACTTGTACGCATAACCAATGATTGTAAAATTGTCCTTCTTTAATCCCTGGATAAATGATATGTAGCGATCCTGGTAATTGCTGATATTTTGTACTAGAAATGCTTTACATTCAGTGTTAGACTTTTTCACCATTACAGCAGGTATACAGTTATACAGTACCTCTATCAGCTAGTTTCATCACATATAAAGCTTTATGCTGTATGCATGCTCCACCACTTAGGCGTTTTCTCGTATCATTAGCTTTTAGATATGCAACCTTCTTACTGCTTGCGAACTGCGTGAAGTTTGAGGTCGTTCTTCCATTGAATAGTGTGGTGTATGTTGCGGCGATTTCGAAAATTTGCTGTGCTGTCAGTTCAGTGTATTTGTAAACTGATTCGTTGTATAGATTGTAGGGGAGAAAGACGTGGTTGATGAATTCAGGGAATTGTATATTCCATTAACAAAAATAATAAAGAAAATAATACCATAGAACCAATTAGTGGTTTTACAAATCCAACAAATTGAGTTAGATTTAGCTCAGTAGTATTGAATAGATCCCATTCATAGATTGAATCAACAGTAATATTTTCTGAAGATGGATTGGAATTATTTGATTGGGATGAAATAGTTTGAGTATTTGAAGAAGATTTTGAATCTAATAATTCTTGAAATTGTTTATTCTATTTTTCTTTTTCAAACTCAAATTTATCTCTTTCTAAAAGATGTTTTTGTTCTTCAAGAATTAATTCTCTTTCTTTCAATCTTGAATCATTTTTTAATTTCATTTTAGTTAAATGATATATTGAAGTAAGACCACCTAATGTTCCAATTGCACCTACTGTTTTAAAATATTGCTTTGAATCAAAATGTGTGAACATAATATTATAATAAAGGAGAATCTCTTAATCAAGGGGTTGGTTTACATTGTCATCTCCTTACTTTTATAGTTTGTAAGAAAGACTAAAACTAAACAAATTTGAGGTGATTAAGATTGGTAGAAGTTCAACTATTAAAAATCTTAAATTGAAATAATCCTCTATGATGCAGTAAATCTATTTAGGTATTAAATATCCCCAATCAACCCATATGTTATCCTTGTTTGTGTGAATCTAGGATAAACTCTGGGTAAGAATCTCTTGTATAATTGTGAATAACAAATAATTTATATACATAAAATAATCTATTTATTATTTATCTTGTTAGTAGTAGTCTATTAAAAAGACGAGGGAGGAAAAGGGGAAATCAAAATAAAAGGTAGGTTTTAAGGTTTCTTGTCGTCTTAAAACTATACCGCTTTTGCACCCTAGATATCTAGGCAACAAACCAAACCAAGCAAATGTTAATGGTATTAGTATTAATTATCTTTATGTGATATAGTTATTTAAAAGTATAGAGAGATTCTTTTCATTTACTAAATTATCTTAAAAGTAATTCAATAAAGATATGTAATGTATTAATCTTTAAATCTAATCGATGGATGTTTTGCCTTGATTAGATTTTTATTATGCCTAAAATCTTATTAACTGTTATCCCCACTATTCTAGGTGGATCTTATCTTGATATTCATAAGAATGAGATTCTTCTATACTTAACTATTATCTATATTCTAACTATTTCAGTTAGGATGTTTACTGACCTTAGACAAGCTAGATTACTATCTTCTATTCATGATATGAATTTAAAACAAATTGAATTATTAGATGATCTTCTTTATAATCAAGTTAAAGATCTTGAACTTAGCTATAAAACTATAGGTTTAGTTCTAGATCAAAAGGATCCTGAAACTGAATCTGTAATTCAAGATTCTCTTAAAACTGAACCTATAATTCAAGAGAATGATGTTTCTTTAACTAATATAAAGGAAACATCATTAGAATCAGGATTTAAAACTTGGTATGATAATAATGTAGAAAGATCTAATAATTCCTCTACTCGATTAGGAAAGAAAGATACTACTTCAGATAAGACTCTGTTTGGAAATTACTTGCAATATTGTAAAGATCACAATATTAATGTATATAAATTTAGTGATCTTACTGATAATTTATTTAAAGTCCTGAAGTTATACAAAGATCTTACACACGAAGAGATTAGAATGGGTAGAAGCCCTGCTACTACTAATCTAAAATTAAAGAAATAGTATAGCTTATACTATTTTAATAATTTAAAATAAATCTATGGCATCTTTTAGGCCTTATACAAATTAATTATGTTATTTATTTATTTATCTTTATTGTTCGAGAATTTGAAAAAGTATCAACCAACTTCAAATTCTAAAGCTATTGTTAATCCTATTTTCTCTATATTCGAGGATAACTTTAGTAATTTCTTTTCTTCAAGAGAGATTTCTCAATCAGCTGTATTTAATTCATTAATTGATGACTTTAATCTATTTTCTATTGGATTACCTTCAATTCAATTACCAAGTATTTAATTTCCTAAGTTTGAATATCCTGAGATAAAATTACCAGATAATATACCAAGTAGTAATAGTATTTTTGAATCAATTAAAAATAAAGTTAGTAATCTTGATTAGAGTTCAATCCCATAGATTCTTTCAGAAATTGAATGGAATCATTACTTGAATGTTATTTATATTTCAGGATCTTTAATGATTACTGGTTCATTTTGTATAAGACTTATACAACTGTGTCTGCAATTTATGCATATGCTAGAACTCCTTATGATTTCTTAATAGATGGATTGATTCAGGTATTGAAGGATTTGATTCAAGTATTGAATGGATTAATCCTACTGCAACTATGTTTATTCTTCTATTACTGCTCCATTTAGCTCTAGTATTGAATGGATTAACAATACTACTAGTATTATTAGTAATACAGTAAGTACTTCATTATTAGTGATGAGTTAATTAACTCAGGTATTAATCGATTTGATTCATTTTATGATTCAGATGATGATTTAGAATCTGATTCTGAATCTGAGGATTCAATTATTAATATTGAACCAGAATTGAATACTAATTCAAGAGCAAGTTTCCTTAGTTTCGCTCAATATTATATGGCTAGGGTTAGACCTGATATTAATATTAATAATATTAGTATTCTTAATTTATTAACTTATTTTATGAATAGAGATAGAGATAGTGATTTTGATCGAATTAGATATTCATCAATGAGGATTGAAGATAATTCATCTCTTCTGATTTCAGAATCATTAGGTATGAGAATCTATAGAACTATTAGAATTTAAGATTAAACTATAATTTTCTAACTTATCTCGAGGTAATAATATTGATCTAAATAATAATAATATTAGTAACACTAATATTGATGAAATGATTATTTCTAATTCAAATATTGGAGGAATCATTTCTTCTGATTCATTTAATCCACAGAAGAATTTAATAGATTATCTTCTCAAACATTAGAGAATTTAATTCAAGAAGAACTAATTGATGATTCAATTAGGTTATTTCAAAATATCAATATTTTAACTATGGATCCTCTTACAAGAGATGCTACTAGTTTTACACATGTAGATATTAATTACTGTTTACAAAATCATATTGTTAATCTCCAGAATTTAAGGATTGAACCTGAATTAGGAATTATTAGTAATATTAGATTATATATGAATCATATCAATAATGAGTCTTCTCTTAGATACTACATTCATAGGCTAATGAATGAATACTTTAATTACCTAGTAAACAATTGGATTATTAGAGAATCGTCTAGAGGAGTAGATTTTAGATTAAGAGATGACTTTGTATTAAACTATATTGATCATTTATCTAATAATCTATCTAATACATATTAAGTGTAGCAGAGCAGAATATTTGAGTACTTAAGATTTTCAATTCAAGTCAAGACATAATAGAAGTTAAGCAGTACAAAGCCAATGTCAAGATGTAGTAGTATGGCTGTTTCACTCGTGACAAGAAGCTTGTAGGCTAATGTACAGGAAATGGCAAGGGTGCGTCAGAGACTCACTGTATGCATAAGCCTATTTTGCTGCTGTGGGAACAGGGCCTGAGCGTTTCCCCTTATTTCATTTTACCCGGGTTGAGTTTGAAACAGATTGGAGGCTGGTGGCTGAGGTAGCTGGAAAGAGTGGGGTTTGTTAGCAGCAGCAGGGATCTTTTTTTTTCTCATTAGCATTCGCCATGGCAAATCAACAGCTGCGACGCACACTTGTAAATGGCTCCTACTCTCTTCACGATGAACAAAAAACAAGGAAAACAAAACGGCGCAATCCACGGATTTATTGAAAAACGAAATGAAGGTAACTGTTTTCTTAAGAAAAGCATGGGCTCAAGATTTGTAAGGAGTAGACCGCCGTTACTGCTGCTTAAAAAAAACGCTGGGTAAGTGAACAAGGGAAGGAAAAGGTTATCGGTTGTGCTTGGGGTATAGCTTAAGTGGACATATGCCCATTCAGAATTACTGCTTCTTTCTCTTTTTCTATGTATATACGTGATGCACCATCTTGCACCAATCCAACGTCAAACGTACGTGCGTAATACAACATCGTCCTCTACCTGCACAAACGATTCGTACTCACAACAAGAACGACGCAACAATCTTCTTCTCCATTACTCAAACACAATCATATACAACATGACGCTGATCCGCCATTGGCTTGCAAAACATACAGCCTGACGCGAATACTTTTTACCTTTTACATATACCAACGTTAACATCGCTGGTCTTTATGGATAAATGAGCTGTAGATAGCAGGAAGGATAACTGATGGGTTTCTTTCCTTTTGTGTTGCTGTGGATTGGATGAAAATAAAGTATGTTGACCATTATATAAGAAAGACAACGAAGAAGGTTCCACAAGAGTTATACAAGTGCGAAGGATGTTGTTTCGTGGTGAAGGATGGTTATTGTAATTATTGATATTGCATGGCAGAGCGTCTGGTGCCATGCACGGTCTCGCGTTTGTGAACCCATTTGTAGCCACACAATTCTGAGATGCGATCCTTGAAGATCTGCCATTGAGCAGCAGGAACGCACACGATTTCATTTGGAATGAGTGCAAGAACTCCACGTACAGTCGAGTGAGAGAGAGCGTAGCGAATGTCGTCAAGGGTAGTAACTTGTCGGTTGTTCATAGTTGTTGTTATTAACAACAAATAAAGTTGCTGTTGTAATAGCAAAGAAATTTCCTCCTTCATAAAAA